CCCTGTCAAATATTCAGTGGGACCACAAGTATAGAGGTCACTGTGAACTCCCAGAACCTGATTCTTAACTGCTACTCTAGATTACACATAGTAGGCACTCATTAAAGGTTCACTGATGTTAAAAAGATACTTGTTAAACCAGATCCTCTGAGCTGCTTCCTCAAAAATATTTTTCTATTATAATGTCGAAGAGAAAAGACAATATGAACCTGAAAGAGAAAAAAGGCCTGTTTTTCAGTGCATTCTCATTTAAGGAAAGACCCTAACCTGAATTCAAATACATTAATGAGAAATCCGTGAGGACAGCTGTCAACGTTGTAAATTCAGCCCTCTGTTATATAGCTATTGCTTATTCAGGAATTACACAGGGTTGCCAATGATAGCCGTTGACTGAAATAAATATTTGATTTTGTTGTCTCATTCTACCTCATTTATTAAACAAGTGATTTTATATAACTATTCTAGAAAGTAAAGATTCTCAAGTCCGCACCAGATATATTTCTGACAAACTCATGTTGTTGAGTTAATGATAATTTTGGGGTACCTAACTTTTTTTTCTTTCTTTCCTTATTTTTTAACTTTGCATAAATTTGTTCAAAATGTCTGGATTTGGTGGCCAATTATAGAACACTTTTCACAGCAAACCCAGTGAAACAATGTCATTTTTAGCCTTCAACTCACAGCTATGGCCTCAAATGATTAGACATGTGATTCTGAACTTGATTTATGGAAGATGGAGCCCAATTCTCTGGCCCCAGGCCTGAATGCTGGGATGGCAGAAACCCATGCTGGAGAAAAATTTAGTTTTCCAAGTAAATGAGGGTGATTAATGGAGAGACTCTTCTCAAATCCAGCTCCTGAGAGTGAGTGAACTGTTGTGCTCTCTGCAATTGAGAATAGGATACTGGGGCTGATTATCCCTAACACCAAATGATTATTGACAACAATTTTGAATGTCACTGTAATAATAGGTAAGGCAAAAACAATTAAAAATACAGATTTAATTTAAAAAAACTCTATACATTGAGAGTAGAGACTAGTTTATATAACTTAGGCCAGTAATTAATGAAAACAAAATCAGTTGAAAGTAATTTAAGTAAAAAGAAAATTAATATAAGTGGGAGGTGGTTTTTTTGTTGTTGTTGTTCCAGAAAGAAAAAAGTCAACTTTTTGGCAACTGAGGGAAAACAATCTACTAAGATCAAAAAAATAAAATTAGCAAATGAAGTAAATGATAAAATCATAGTAAATAGATTTAAGCCAGTAGATTATATCTTGAATACATCTTGATTTTACATTATGACCATTTGGGTTGTGGGGTGTGTGTGAAAATGGGCAGTAGAATGTGAAGCCAACATGCTTGAAGAAGACAGATATGCAGCACACACAAATACCCAGAGAATAAAGGAATCAGATGTGATGAGGCTGACCAAGTCATTGTGAAAGACAAAAATATGAAGACACACTGAGGAAAAACAGGGAAAGACAGACAGACACAGGAGGAGCAAGATAGGCATGTACATACACATGTAAATACAGAGGACAGAGGAAAGGGATAGTTAGAAAGACAAACATTTTCTTTTTTATTTTTAAAATTTTACTTTAAGTTCCGGGATACAAGTGCAGAACATGCAGGTTATAGGTATACGTGTGCCATGGTGGTTTGCTGCACCTATGAACTCGACATCTAGGTTTTAAGACCCGCATGCATTAGCTATTCGCCCTAATGCTCTCACTCCCCTCGCCCCCCCATCCCCTTTCCAGCCCCGGTGTGTGTTGTTCCCCTCCGTGTCCATATGTTCTCATTGTTCAACTCCCACTTATGAGTGAGAAGATGCGGTAGAAAGACAAACAATTTTCATTAGCTCAACAAATATTTATTGAGGCAAAAACAGGCCCACAGAGATGGAGTTGGCAGACAGCTTTGCAGTTCTTTGAATCTGGCCAAAGTGAATCTAGCTGTTCATCATAACTGCACAAAATTGTTTTTGAGGGCCTACTAAGTGCAAAAGCACTGTGCTAAACACTAAAGAAGACAAAAGTAGAAATACAATAGACTCCATACCCTCTAAGGACATATTAAAAAGTTGTGTTGGGCCTATGAGTGAACTATCTGCTACTTTATCATTCTTTAAAATGATGAACTTGCTGGGAATTTAAAATAGACCTTTCTGCAGTGGCAAGCAGGATTTATGCTTCGATTTTTCATTTTAGATTATGAAGACTGTACAAAGAGACTCAGAGATAGAGAACTTTCCTTTTCATCTTTAAAAGTCACAGGCATAAATAATAGCCAAGAGAGGAAATCTCTTTGTTACACAAAGTTGCTTGGTGGCCTGATCTTTGTTCTTGGCAAAATTAGTCTTGTTTCATTACCTAGTATCTGGGAGATATCTGAAACCATCTTGTACTTTTTCCTTTTAAAATTTAATGCTATTTTTGGCTCAGTTGGCTTTTAGTTGGAACAATCAAGACAAAATTATAACATCTCCCACTCTCCAAAAAACAACCATGGAAAAACACTTTACGAATAAATAAACAACTCCCAGTTAAGGCTACAACTAGAGCATTACTGCCTATTAGAAATATAATATGAGCCATGAGCCACAAGCCGTATTTTAAATTTCTTAGAGCTATATATTTAAAAGTTTTTAAAAGGTGAAATTAATTTTCATAATATATTTTCTTTAATCCAATGTATGCAAAATATCTCAACATGTAATCAATAAAAATGTATTAATGAGATATTTTACATTCTTTTTTCATACTAAGGTTTTGAAATCAGGTGTGCCTTTTATACTTATAGTACATCTCCTTTTGGACTAGCCACATTTCAAGTGCTCAATAGCCAAATGTGGTTACTGGCCACCGTACTGGACAACAATGATTTGGAGTATTACTTCTAAGTGGATTGAATATCCTTTCCCTTCCTATTGTTAGCTCTACCAGAGACTCAACCAGATGAAAATAAAATCTAAAAGCCAACTTTTGTTTTCTAAGTCCCTTTAGTACATAATACTGTCTTTTTGCAATCTGTCTGGTGGTATTTACCCTTTAGGCATGAAGAAGGAGAGTTGAGGTTTGTATATGAACTTGGGAAGGTATAGCTTTCTTACTTAGGTAAAACAACCAGTCCACCAGAAGTAGACAGGGAAAATTCCTGGTGGGAGAAAATGGCTCTAGAAGCTGGCCCCGCTCTGCACTTGGTTGAATTGAGTAAGCTTGCCTCAAGGTTCTTCTGGTACCCTGTATCCCTCTGTCAAGCACTTATCAGTGTAGACTGTAAGTTCCTTGAGGGCCCACACCATCATTACCCATCTCTGTCTCTCTAGCACCTAGCACAGTGCCTGGAACATAGTGCTCAAGAAATATCTGCTAAACAAATAAATGAATTCACATAAATTCAGTTTCTTGTGTGCACTAGCCACATTCCAAGTGCCCCATAGCCACACACAGCCAGTGGCTACCATATTAGACAGCACAGATATAGAACATCTCTATCATCACAGTAAGTTCTATTGTTTATCACTGTTTTAGAATGAGTAGAAATATTAATTTGACCCATTCGGTGACAGGGAGCTTCTAGAGACCACAAAACTCTTCTTTTTTGTGAGCAAATGAGAATACATTTTAGCTCCCTGGAAAGTTCAAATATAATGTCATTATGGTTTTGACTGGAAGAATAAACTTGGCCATGTATTTTCTTCCTGAGTTTGTCTCCCTTAGGGTCTTCTCATCTTGATTCCCGCCAGGCACAGTTTCCATGAGTGCCTCTCCTATTCTCTAGCCCAAATGTCTAATGAATGCTTTCCCTTATTTCCTGAGATATACTGTCAATTTCAAAACAAACTTTAGTACAAAAGCTAGGGGGAAGAACAAAGAAAATATAAAATCATGAAAAACAATCAAGCTTATATGTGATATATACTTTTTTGAACCTAAGTATGCCAGGAAAAGCAGTGTGGTTCTTGAAGAAATTCTACCTTCTCTTATCCTAAAATAATGAGACTGTAATGGCTGATGGGCTAGCACAATTTTGCAAGCATATTGGCTGTAACCCTTTGTCTTCAGCCCCTTGCCTCAGCCAGGAAATGTCTGAGGTGACATCTTTGTTTCTGACATACAGTAGTTGGTGTCCCTGAATATGTGTCTCACTCCTCATTTAACGGTGTCCATTAAGAATATTCCATTTTCCTTTAAATAAAACTTTTCCCTGTTTCAAATGCTGTTGCCTGCTCAGATCCACCTGCCTAGTTTCACCTTGAGGCCTGAGAGACATGCATGAGTACAGCTGACTTGCAGAACTGGTGACTCCTGCCTTCAGCCTTAGTGAATAATCTAATGCAATGGTTCCCATGTCTTGCTGATTATCAGGATTATCTGAGGAACTTTTGCAAAGTTCAGATCACTGAACCCCACTCCAGACTTCTAAATCAAATCTTTGGCAGTGGGGCATAGGAATCTTTATCTTTAACAAGTATACTAAGTGAAAATGATGCACTAGGTCTCATTTAGGGATTATTGTCTGTTTCCTCCATACTCAGTCAACTCTGCCTACCTCTGGATCATTCCATAAGGACATTCCCCACCCTCACTTTGTCACTCTACATTTTGACAATAAAACAGGATCTTAATCATACCATCCATGGAGCTGTAGGGGGAATTGCGATAAATGGGGTTTTTATGTAAGCTAGAAGTTTCCATAACCCTACTGCTTTTTCTAGAGAAATCTGTTTGAATCTTCTAACTACATAGGATCGAAATGTCCCCACAGAATTTATTGTCAGGCCAACAATGATGAAGATTTCAGCAGGATGTGTTCCTAGGTTAATGAACAGTCAGCCCTCCCCCTGAAAGGCCAATACTGAGAATGCAAGACACAAATATAATCTAGGAAATGAGAAGCATAATTTATGCAAAACCCAAGCTCTTACTGAATTTTAATTTTAATGTATGTTGCTTGTACTCATCTTTTTATATTTCAAATAACAATCACTTACCCTTGACCAATTTTTTCAAATCTTGTGTATTTTTTCTTTGGGTCCCCAACACTCACAATGCTTCCTAAGAGACAGGTGGGGAGAGAAGAAAAGAGGAGGAGGTGGAAGAGAGAAAGAGAGAGAGAGAGAGAGAAATGGAAATTGATTGACTGTTTTTTAATTTAATAATGAAAATTAAGATGCCAGAGTCAGTGACAAATAAAACATTAGACAAATACTCCCATGTGATTTCTATAATTTATATAAAATGATACTTTCTACTTATTAAAAGAACAAATAATTTTATAGTAATTAAAGTAGTAATTATAACTCATTTTGCTTATATTCAACACTACTGATATTTGGAAAACAAAACTTGTCACAACCCAACATCTATAAAAAGTTCTCATGATACTATATATTAGGATATAATAACCATCTAAGAAAGGGATGGAGCTGGAGGTCATGATCCTAAGCAAACTAATGCAAGAAAAGAAAACCAAATACTGCATGTTGTCACTTATAAGTGGCACTTATAAGAGCTAAACAATGAATACACATGAGTATAAAGATAGGAACAATAAAGACAGGGGATCACTAGACAGGGGAGGATTGGGAGAAGGGCTGAAAAACTACCTATTGGGTAGTATGCTCACTGCCTGGCTGTAGGCATCATTAGAGTCCCAAGCCTCAGCCTCACACAATTTACCCATGTAACAAACCTGCATGTGTACCCTTTATAACAGAAGTTGAAGTTATAAAATACAAAAATGTGCTCAGTCTCATAAATATTCCGGAAAATACACATTAAAACCAGAATGAGTTAACACTACAGACTGATAAGAATGGCTAAAATTGAAAGGGTTGTCAATACCAAATGTTATCAATGATGTAGAGCAATTGGAACCCTTGTGCACTGATGCTGGGTACATAAATTGGTATAATCGCTAAAAAATAATCTAAGAACTTATCCACACTATTTAGTAAAATCACTATCTTCTCTGAATTGAAGTTAAGCACTATGTTATATCCAATTCTGCTGGACAAATATCTAGTGAGTATTTACTATGTACCCAGTACAGTGCTAAGGGTGTGGGGATGGAAATGAGTCTAATGAAGAACAAAGTATGATCATAAAGTAATGAGACCCATGCATTTTCAAAACATACATTTCTGAACCTAGGACACTGTTAGTGCTCCAAAGATTTGAACAGATTTACTGACATATGATTTACATACCATAAAGTTCAATGACCTAGAGTGTGCAATTGAATGTTTTTAACATATTTACTGAGTTGTGTAAATGTCATCATGATCTAATTTTGGAATGTTTTCATTATTCCAGAAAGAAACCTTGTACCTGTTACTTGTTAGCAGTTACTCCCCATCCTCCCTCAGCTTGCCAAAACATACCTCGGCAACCACTAATCTACTTTCTGTTTCTATAGATTGCTCCGAACATTTTTAGTAAGTTTATAAGCTACATAAGAAAACTATTAATTGATCATATTTGGCTCTTTAAAAATATTAGTTTTGCTATTTCAAAAAAATCCAATCCATCACTCAGAGGATGAATACTTGCTATGACTCAGAATAAATACCACAGAAGTGGCATTGACTCCTCAATGCAGTGTTCAAATAGGTCCAGAAAAAACTTGGGATTATAGAACCATCATGGGAATAAGGGTGCAGCTTCTCAAGGGTACTACTTTGAAGGGCATCATTTATTTGGATGCCTCTGGCCCGTCTTTCTTTTTGGAAGCAAACATGTCAGTATTATTACCTTTGAGTTAGTTATATCTTACTAACACATAGTACAAATAAGTGTACGGTTGGTTGGTAAGACAAGATTTTCACATATGAACTAATCAAGAGATCTGTAGATTCTATCTTCTAGTTGTCACTCGTATTCATACTCTTCTCTCTATGCCCATGGCCACTGTTATTGTTCGGGCCTTCAATACTTCTTATTCAAACAATTGTGCCAGTCATAACCTACTTATAGACTCTGCTTTCTCTAGTTCCTCTTACAGCATGCCTTTGGAAAAGGGTGACCATATTATTCATAAAATGAGACTGTCCTGGACAGACTGAGATGTACAATAACTCTCTATCAGAATGATTTTGCTCCACTGTTTATGATTCCTCAAAAGCTCCTGCCCACTGCAAGATCAAATCCAATTTCTGTAGTTAAACAGAGAAGGCCCTTCACCATTCAGCATCATCTGGCTCCTATCTAACCAGTCTAGCTTTATATTATTCTTTTTCTCCCCCCTTACTACTTTATATCCTAGTAATGCTATCACTATCTAGTGCTTAGGTCTTTGCATGTGCTCCCTCTTTTCCTTTCCTATCTAACCCATGAATTCTTGTCATTTAAATAAAATCTCAAATTATCCACATCTATGAAGTCTTCTCTGATCATTTCACTGAGACTTACATGCTGCTTCTCGAGGGCAGGAACTTTGTCTTTTCATCCCTGTAACTTTGGAGCCTAGAACAGTGGCTGCTACTAAACAAATATTTGTTGATTAAATGAATAAGAACAAGAAAATATGTATTTAAGTGCTCAATTATATGCTACAGATAATACTTCATGCTAATTTATACAACAGTCTATTCTCTTTTATATGCTAATTATATGCTACAGATAATACTTCATGCTAATTTATACAACAGTCTATTCTAAATTAAGTAGACAACTTAATTTAGACCTAACAGTAGATAGCATACCTTGAGAAAAATAATCAGTTAAACATTTCACGCATGGATTACTCATCAAGTTGTTGGGTTTTTTTTTTTTAATGAAAGTTCAGTTTTCAATTAAGTTAAATAACACTTAGCTAATATATGGGTTGTTATAATACTTTTTCTTTTGTATTTCCACTCAGTCAGTAGTACTGTCAGTCCATCTACTCATTAGCCTGAGTTAGAAATCTACGAGTCATCATTGACTCTTACTTTGTCTCTTACTATCACTTATCACATGCAGTTGTCCACCAAGGGCCTATATCTTGTTACCTCCTAGACATCTTTTGAATGTGTTCCTTCCTCATTACTACTGCTTTAGTTGGGCTCTCATTATCTTTTCCCTGGGTTATTCCAACAGCCTCCTAGCTAGACTCCTAGTCTAGCTGCTGCCCTCTCTGGTCAAGGCTCTACATCTCTATCAGGATCCTCTAAGTGCAGACCTGATGATGTGATTCTCTGGTTCAGGATTACTTGATAGCTCCCTAACACCTACAGATGAAAGCCAAAACTCCTTGGCAATGCAAGGTTCCTAATCTGGCTCCCGCTTCATTCTCTTCTCATCATTTACCACTTCCTCACTAGAACTTCATGCTCTGAGCATAACAAACTAATGGTAGCGCATGATCAGCTCCTGCTTAAAAGTTCAGTTTCCTCTCCTACAACGCCAGTGTCACCATATACCACCAATTCTTTATTCAAGTAACACCGAATAAGTCAGAGTTCCCAGACATATGCCTTCAAGTCTTCTTTACATGCCATTCGCTGCCTGAAATGTCCTTCCCATATTTTCTCTGTGGCAAGTTCCTAGTCATGCTTCAAAACTTTGTTTAGATGTTGCCTCTTCTAGGAAGCTTTCTCTGATCCCTTTGAATAATTAACAGCTTCACTTTTCTATGCTACTACTGTATCTTCTCTCTCTCTCTGGCCCTTGCTCTCTCTCTCTCTGTACTTAATATATCAGATGTCTATATCTATCTATTTGGAACTTTGACTTGCAAGAATTAGAACTGAAGGGTTCCATAATCATCTGGCATCCATTCAATGTTGTATCTATGGCTAGAAATATACCTGATATACATGATAGGAATTCCACAGTTCTTCCTGGTTCACTTAAGGTCTTGGTCACAATGTAACACTTGTGCTGAGTTACTCTCTGTACTAAGCAGTCATCTGCATAGGTTCCTTTGTGTGTGCATGGTATTTGATATCGCCTTTTAGACTATGTCTTAAGGACAAGGAGCCATGTCTTATTCATCTCTGTATCTTCAGTGCCTCCTCATACAATGCCATGTGTAGAATATATTGAATACTCAACGAATATTTTCCAAATTACAGTAAAATACAATTAGTTATTTCCGTTTGTAAATGCTCCATGGTTTAAGGCAAGGGTTGGAGAATATATTTTACTTGAGCTGTATCTATAGAATGCCACCAATTTAGCAATTTCTGAGTTGGCCTTTTATTTTTCAACTTGTCTAAAAGATTTCTACATAACTGAGAGCCATCCTTATTCAAATTAGCTATTAATGGGCAAGGGCCTGGACTTTTTTATTTTAATGAAATGATTTTAAAGTCATTTGAAGCCATAATTTTATTAAGCAGTTTATAGTCTTCTAAAAGTTTTACTATTAAGTTGCTAAGCAAACTTTTTTCCATATAGAAAAAGCAAGTAAGCTTCAGCCCAAGTCACTTTCTGAATTATAACCCATTCCAATTGGTAGAGTTCAGTTAATGTGGCTTTATGGTAATAAATTATTCAACCTTTATTTCCATGTTATGCAGGGGAAAAAAAAACTGGAAATAAATCCTTTCACAAGGATTACCAAAAGACAACCATTTTGATGAGATTCCACTTCTGAACTTAACTGCTATTCAAATAAAATGGTGTCTCCACACCCATTGCCCTTCACAGCAGAGTGTGTGCTGCCATCTACTGATGTTAGGTAAGTATACTAGAGGCCTTGTTTACCATTCTCAATCACAAAACAAGCTTTTAAAGTTATCTTTTCCATTAGTTATTATAATTTGCTTTTGTAAATTATGATAGATAAAAAACACTGTGACACAGTAGGGAGAAAGTTTTTAAAAATCAGCAAATCAAAATCAAAAGAAAAAAAAGCAATACCAGAACAATTTCCTACCAGAACTTCCCAAATAAGAAAGAAACTATTCATTTTAAAGTACAGGTTTTAAGAACACTAAATACTTGCATTTGAAAATAGCATTTATGATTTCAGTTCAGTGACAGAAAAGCCCATCAATATATTTTCTGACTAAGTGAACTCCCACCATTAAAACATTATCTTTTTAGCATAATGAAGATTTTGATTTCTGAGAAAAAGTAAAATAATTATCTAAACTGATATCAGTTCTATATGAGGGTGAATTAGGAAAAAGGCTTTGAGTGAGGAATGCTGAGGGAGGCGCGAGGCAAGGAGTCGGTGATTGTGGGGCCCAGAGGAAGGAGATTGAAGACAAATTTCCTGTATTACACAACTTTACTGACAGTCACTGGCTTTTGAAATTTGTCACTAAAATGTGGGCGTTTCCTTTTTTATTATACTTTAAGTTTTGGGGTACATGTGCAGAATGTGCAGTTTTGTTACATAGGTATACACGTGCTATGGTGGTTTGCTGCACCCATCAACTTGTCATCTACATTAGGTATTTCTCCTAATGCTATCCCTCCCCTAGCCCCCCACACCCCGATCCCAGTGTGTGATGTTCCCCTCCCTGTGTCCATGTGTTCTCATTGCTCAACTCCCACTTATGAGTGAGAACATGCAGTGTTTGGTTTTCTGTTCTTGTTTCTTTATTTTTCAACACAATGAACAAGCCAGACCCAGGCTCTTTGTCTATGTAAAACCGAAAGATGACCTGTTCATTTCAGCCAATAATGATTCTTGGTCTGGCCACCACAATCAGTATCTGCATGGAAGATGAAGAATAGCTCTGTGGTCTAGGCTGCCCACCTCTTAGTAACCGGACCCCTGACACTGAAGGTGAGGATGGTTTAGTAGAGGCTGCCATCTACTCTTCATCATGCTTATGAGGTCCACTCTGGTAAGGGATATTGGCCATCTTTCTACTTCCCTGTTTCCCTTTTTCCTCTCTTTTGCCTCTCAGCACAGGCTGCTCTACTTTTTCCCCAAGCTCCAATGGGGCCCTTGAGTCCAAGATACTTGATGGCTTCTGTACAGTAATCATACATCTGGGATTATTCCTGGTTTCAATCATTCTGTCACACTGGTAAGACCCCATAACCCCATTTTTATGCTGAAAAATATGATTGCTCTCACTCTAAAAATAGCATAATAACAATTTTATACTACTGTTTATTGTGCTAGATGTCTTATCTACTTTAACTCATTTAGTCCTCATACAACCCCCATTATGTAGGTACAATTATTATCTCCATCTTTCAGATAAAGAAAATGATGTTTGGAGATGTTAAGTGACTTGACTAAGGACATACAGCTAGTATAAGTCTATGACTCAGACCCAGTGATGACTTATTTCAAAGCTTGACCCATTGTATTATATTATTAAGGCTTTATACTTACGTAGTAATAATTACCACTTACTGAGCCCCTATGATGTACCTGGTACTGTTGCTGGGGTTTTTATATTATCATTATCCCCACTTTTTAGATGAGAAAATGGAGGTCCAGAAAATTTAAATAACTGGCCCTAAGTGACACAGCTAATAGCAATGGGTCTGTGATTTAAATGTAGATCCTTCTGACTCCAATATCTGACCTCTTAACCATAGGATGAGCTCCTTAAAATCCATCCTATAGACAGAGTCTTGAAATGTAGTAATGGGTTAGGCTTGGTGGCTCCTGCCTGTAATCCCAGCACATTGGGAAGCTGAGGCAGGAGGACTGCTTGAGCTCAGGAGTTCAAGACCAGCCTGGGCAACACAGCAAGACCCCATATGTACAAAAGATTAAAAAAAATAGCCAGGCATGGTGGCGTATACTTAAAATTATAGCTACCTGGGAGGCTGAGGTGGATTGTTTGAGCCCACGAGGTCAAGGTTGCAGTGAGCTATGATTGTGCCAGTGTACTCCAGCCTGGGTAACAGAGCCAGACCTTATCTCTTACAAAAATGTAATTTTGTAAAAATGTAGTTATGATTCTTATCTCCATTTCACAGGTTAAAAATTGAGGCTCAGAGGAGTTAAGTCACTTGTCTGAAGTTATCCTTAGACAAAGGTGTAATGGCAAAGAGAAGGCACAGAGAGGGTAATGGTGGAGCAGGAAAGTCTGACTTTGTGGACTTTAGAGTATAGTTCACTGGATCTGCTTCATGAGAAGCACTGCTCCATTTCTCAGCAGGTTCACCCTGACAAAATCTACAAATTCAATGTAAGGTTGGCAGTCACAGGTGGCCTGCTGGCTAGAGGGAAAATGACTGTCTCTATGCCCAAGCATGAAGTCCAGTAGAGAAAAAAAAAACCCCACTTAATTCTTAATTAAAATGTATCAAATTAGCTTCCCCTTCTTCACCAAGTTGCTCAGTGTAGAGCAGAATAAACAACAAATAATAAGGACACAGCTCTAGCACGATTAGAGTTTACAAGCAAAACAAGATTTTGGTCCAAGAAAATAATGCTTGTTTCTCTGTCAACTAACTTAACAAAACTGTACAAGCATTTTTGTTGTAATACATCCATTGAGATTTGAAACAGATACCAAATAACAATCATTTTATTAAAGCAAGGCTGTTGGATTTTTAAAATCTGATATAATCACATAGGTCATGTCTACACACGCAAAATAAAGAAAAACATTGTGGCAATTGTCTGAATAATTGAACTTAAATTATTCCAGGCAATTCTTTCATTTCATTCTTCCTTTTTACAAAAATAGACAGTTGGGATATGCAGAAGCAAAGTAGGTAGGTAATGGAAAAGGTGTAAGCTTTGAAGGTAAACAGGTCTCAGTTCAAACTTTGGCTGTGCCACACATTAGTTTGGTGACTTGGTCAGTTAAGCTTTTTAAAGCTTACTTTCATTCACTGATCTGTAAAATGAGGATATTAGGATCAGCTGCAAGGAACTACTGTGAAACTATGATAATGTATGTAAAGTGGCCCACCCAGAAGGTGCCCAATAAATGAGAATTACTATTGCTGTTATTACAGCAAATGGTTAGTATCAGTGCTAGTGGCATATTTAATCATGAATAGTAAAGTCAGCAAAAATCTAGCAATTGTAGTTCTGAGTGCTCACTGACAGCTGCAACTCTGACCTTTGCCTTTCCAAATGCATCTAACTCAAATGCCTCAATTTCAGTACTGTTGACACTTTGGACTGAATAATACTTTACTGTAAGGTGGACGGAGGGTAGCTGTCCTATGCACCGTAGGATGTTTAGAAGCATCCTTGGCCTCTACCCATTAGATGCTACTAGCAATCTCTGAATCAGGACAATAAAAATAGTCTTCAGACGTTGCTAAATGTCCTTGGGAGGGCAAAATCATCCTACCACCACCTCTGCAGAGCCTCCCTGTGGCCTATAGTGGGAATTACTCTCTTCCTTTTCTGAGGTCTTTTAAATAAAAATATACATGAAACGAGATTCTCTTATGCTGTAATTGTATCATATTATTAAATCGTATTTTCCAAAAAAGATTAAATTTCTTGATGACAGGAAAGTTTCATTCTGTTGTGTTCTCCAAAGTTTCTTGTATAGAACAGACAAGTAGGAACTCAGTAAAGATGTATTTGTTTACTTATTTTTTCCATTCATTCCCTCAACAAGCATTTGCCGTATGCCTTTATGTAATAGGCATGAACTAGGAGTTGGACATGTAAGGAAAAAAGGGCACAGTCCCTGCTCTTAAGAATCTCACAGTGTAGTGAAGAAGTCAGACTAATATGGTTTGATATTTGCTCCAATAAAAGTGGTAAGGAAGAGACGCCTTTAACTTGGACTGGGAGAGACAAGCAACATTTTTCTGAGGAGGCCACTTTTGAGCTGAGTTTTGAAGGATGAGTAGGAGTTAGTCAAACTGGGGGTTGGAGGGGGAGGGCACTTATTGCTGATATCTAGCAATTTGTTAGAGGCTTTTATAGTATGAGTTTAATGAATATGCTTTACAAACCTTTGACTTTTCAGCAGATAACCCATTTTTTTTTTTATCTTCTTGACCCAGAAATGTAACTAGAAGGTAAGTGTTTTCTAAAATTGGGGCAACAAGTGTGTACACACAAGTATGTACATACTAATGACACTGTGGAAGGAAGCTACTAGCATTTGCTAGTTCTGTCTCTCCTGCCACATAGAAATGCTTCTGAATTAAGGGAAAAAGCTATATTATTTGTTGTTACAAGTTTTGATTGACTGTGTTGGGCTTTGAGGTTAACATATCTATCATCACTGATTAGTTGAGGGCCCTTGGGTTATGATCATAACATATTTTATCAGACTATTCTATCTCTTTTGAAGATGTAATATTAAAATTTGCTACTTAATTTGTCTTATCAATTTTCATCTCAATTGATTCCTTCAAGTAAAAATATTTAGTTCCTGTCAAATTAGGAGTGGAAGGGAGAAAGTGTTCTGGCATATGCAGTGAGTCCCAAATTTTTCATCTCATGATTTTGGGAAGTCTGGAGTTCATATAAGCAGATTAAAACTTTCAAAGGATCAATTCCCATTTTAAATGGTTTATGAGAAACACTCCCATGAAGGAAGTAATCATGGCAAAAAGTACTCACTTAGCTTCTCTAAGATCTCCTCATCTGTCATCTTGGATTTTTTTCTTTGCCGATCTGTGTTCCTGTACAAAGTACTGGAATTGGCATTTTCAGCAGAGGGTGGTGTGACCTCTTTATTTGGTGCTGCAGGTGAAGCAATGGATTCAACCACAGAACGAGTGTAGATCTAAAAAAACAGAAAGTTCTGCAATTAAAACAGCAGGCCAAGGAAAGAGTGTGAAGTCAATGTATTGTAATATCAATGAATTTTTAAAGACAAGTGGTATTTTCTTAAAAAAAAAAAAAAAGGACTTTGAGTAGCTGAAAGTACAACACTATTGAAAGATCATGGGAGCTAGTCTTTGGATGTCCCTATACATGCCTTGCTAATTGTGGTCTGAGGACCTCTGTTTATGCAATTCTTCCTACCTGGTTCACATGGATTTCCTTCCTTATCTTCTCCAACATTTTTATTACTTAGCAGTTACGTATTGTTTGGTATTATTCTCTAATTGTTTAATGTGCTAATCTTGTATCCTCAAACAGCATCCTCAAAACCTTGGTCATATTTTATACTCTAGCTCTTGGAACATAAAAGATGCTTAATAGGTAGCAGTAGATTAACTATATTCTAACTCTATGACTATTCCAAAGGGCATCTTTTGAATCATTTGGAAATAGTCCTTTGTGACTTACTGATTTTGTATGCTCTGGTCTTGGTGCGATAACTGGTGGTGGCTCATTGTCATCTTCTTCTTCTTCCTCCTCTTCATCTTCTTCTTCAGACACAGGAGGGGCCAATGGAGGCTCAGATGCTGTTTTCGTACTCTTGTGACAAAAACAAAGTTTATAGATCGGGTATTAACTCCTTTGTTTTGTTTTTCTTCAGAAATAAAACAAAGGAAATGAAAATAGTTAAGCATGTAGGGATAGGAGGAAACTACATCTTTCACAAATGATCAGAATCATCAACAATTTGGTGGCCAGGGCTTGCTCACCTGAATATAATCTCTGAACTTGTTCAGAGATAAATTCATGTCATGGCTTAAAGAACCATGAAGTGTATTTTTAAAAAAAGTTTCTCATTGAGCTGAAAAACAGTGGACTATTATTCACTTAATATTTTAAAGTTCAATGTTTTTGAAATACATTAAAAATCAAACTAATTGCTCTTAGAGCCTTGATTCTATACTGGGAAGATTATCAATTTATTGATTGACAGTTTGTCCACTTGAAAAGAACTATTTTCTACCTAAGGATCAGAGCATGCATATGCATATTGTATTAATATAGCTCTGTAAATACTCTCTAAGAACAAGCAAGCCAATAAATGTCTCTTCCCTGTCCAGCCTCCTGGAAAGAAGCACTCAGAGAGTAATAGACATGAAGATCTAAAGAATACTCATCCACATGAATAATCACTCAATATTAACCATGAGTTAAATGGAGATTTTCGATGTTTTATAAACTGCAATAATACGACAGTATTGTGGTACAATAGCAATAATACCTAAGGACAGTTCTTGATCATTCATGTTAATACAGTGGTAAAATGGTTCCAAAGTTTGATTTTGAAAGACCCATGGCCATGGTTCTCAAAGCTTGGTTCCCGGATCAGCATCATTAGTATCATTAAGGAACTTGTTAGAAATGCAAATTTTCAGGCTCCATCCAGACCTATGAATCAAAACTCTGGAAGTGGAGCCCAGTGATCTGTGTTATAACAAGCCTTCCAGGTGATCCTGATGCATGCTCAAGTTCAAAAACCATGAACTATGGCTCAGGTCTGCACTGTTTAATATGGCCACATAGCAACCAGCCACATAAGGCTACAGAACACTTAAAATGTGGCCAGCCTGAATTGAGATGTGTTTCAAGTGTAAATTACATCCCAGATATTGTATACTTAATATAAAAAAATTGTAAAATGTTAGATTAATATTTCTTATATTGATTATATGTTGAAATGCTGGTATTTTGAATATATTGGCTTAATAAATATATTATTACAATTTATTTCACCTATTTTTTACTTTTTAATATGTGGTTACTAGAAAATTTAAAGTTATGAATATAGTTTATATTTCTGTTGGACAGTGCTATTATAGGTGTTTTTTGTTTGTTTGCTTTTGGTTTGTCTTTGTGTATTTATTTTGTTTTTGTTTATGCCACTGGGTATACTGGCCTAACATAATTCGACAATGAATTTTCATTCTTTGAGGACAAAGCTCCTGAGGCAGTTACAGGCAGCCTGTTAATAGACCATTACATCAAAGGACCTCAATCATGATTAAAAACTCAATATGGCTTTTCTACAATCATGTATAAACATATGGTGAAGTAATAAGGTGTAATCATACATCTGAAAGCAGCCAGAAAGACTTATCAATTGTGAGAAGAAAGACAACCTAGAATTTATAAACAAGCATTTGAAAGAATATTTTGTTGCCCTGATATAGATGCTAAGTGGTTTATAGATTGAAGTTTGTATGTTTACTGAACATTGGTTTTCTTGTTTATGCAGCTATATTGATTCTTAATTTAGCCATAACAACTGGGCTATTACATTGTATAGTTATGTGGATAGCAACATCTGTTAAAGACATTAAGTTTCCAGGTTTTTAAAAAATCACTTTCTTCTTGCAAAACACTACTTCTTCAGGGGACTTCAGTGGGCACAGGGAGAAATGGGCTTTGGGTTATTGAAATTTGCTTTGATATTATGTTCCAGAAAGTTTTGCCCTATCTTATACCAGCCGGTTTCAGGAATGTACCTAATCACTGTTTCTTTGTAGAAGGGTGGAAGCTGAGTACTTTTTTATATGGCAAATGGTGCTATTTTATCCATTAGGCAATATGAACCTTGCCCAGGGTTGATAAGTTTTACGTGGGCCTATGAAAGTGTTTGCCATCAGAAATAAATCATCAGCTCCAAAAAGCCAGAAGAAAACTATAAAGTCAAAATTAATTAATGTCTGATTAAATGTCTGTTAAGTATAACAATATGCCAACTTAACTAGTCTCTTATGTCTAGCATTTATAGAAATTTCATTATATTAAATATAAATTGTAGGTTAGATTTTCATATTTAGCAATAATTCTTGAATATTTACAATGATTTAACAAGAAATTATACCTAATCATACATTTTTAAAGTTACTTGTAAGTAAATAATTTCAAAATTAGTATTTCAAAAATAATTTCAAAAATTTATAGCAAAAATATAAAGTGAAGTATGGGGGCCCTTTAATATGTTTAAAGCAATGCATGATGTGACCTCTACAAGTGAGAGTATATACAGTCTATTAGGCTCTAAAAACAGCCCTAGAGGCAAAAAGAATGATTCAAAGTCTAGTCTTCTTGGTCCAAACCTTAAACTGGTACAAAGACCAGTCAATGTCTGCTGGGCAAGGGGCAAGCTTACACATTTCAAGTCTTAATATTTCACTAGATAAGATCCACCTGCAAGATTTCACTGACTGTTAACATTCATTACTATCTTCACAGCTAATCTCCAATGGAAGCCATTCCCCATCTCCAAGGATAGACTTAAGGGACTATTAGAAAACCTGAAGGTTTGTAGGAAAAGAAAAAAACAGATATTTCTGTTTACTTTGGACCAAACACTATCCTGCCATATTGGTTGGTTGACTTGGAAGAATGTATGGCATTGAGTGGATAGTATGTTTTGAATTATGGTTGGGCCAGAGAGCGTTAAAACCCCAGCAATCCACCAAGGATACCAATCTTCAGTACTGAGAACTGAAATTAACAATTTCTGCCCGTGTTAAAAAATACTGGGATCGGGCATACTTTACTATCACCGTGTAAACAGTACTGGGACTGGGCATATTTCATTTTCCCTGTGTTAGGCAATATCCAGATAGACATACTTTAATGTTCTTATGTTAAACAATACTGAGAATAAGTAAAAATAACATAGCTTCTTACTTTAGGAAATACTTGTTTCTAGAAGATACCGTGAACCAACTAATTTGCTCATCGAGACTAACAGCTTGCTCACTAAAACTTGCTTCAAGCCCCTTCCTTTGCTATACTCACCAATACAAAGCTATTTTATCATAAACACTGCACAATGTTAACCCATTCCTCACCTTGCAAGACCTGCTTTAAAATCAAACAGTCTAAGCCCTAACACCCTATAAATAATCCCTTCTGACATCTCCTTCTTAAGACACTAAGACTTTATCAAAGTAATGCTTTTATGTCACTCTAATTTTAATAAACATAGCTTTACTTAGAGGTTTTCTGGGTGATCATTTTTGGAGTCAATGGTGCAATGTTTCCATACTCTTCATTCCAGGCTGAGAATTACTGTATCTAAAACTTCTAAACTTATAGAAATATAGATAGATGGATAACAAGTAAGGAATATTTTTGTCATCAAATTAGATATTTTTGACACTCTAATTTTGCCAGACATTGGGGCAGGGAATGTAGTTCTTTGTTTTGTTTTGCTTTTTGAGATGGAGTTTCGCCATTGTTGCCCAGGCTGGGGTGCAATGGCACGATCTCTGTTCACTGCAACCTCCACCTCCTGGGTTCAAGCAATTCTCCTGCCTCAGCCTCCCAAGGAGCTGGGATTACAGGCATGTGCCATTATGCCCAGCTAATTTTGTATTTTTAGTAGAGATGGGGTTTCTCCACGTTGGTCAGGCTGGTCTCAAACTCCTGACCTCAGGTGATCCACCCGCCTCGGCCTCCCAAAGTGCCGGGATTACAGATGTGAGCCACCGCGCCTGGCTGGGAATGTAGTTCTTAACCTGAGTTGGGTCCTAGACTCTTAGGGTTTGGTCTATCTCCCCAGAAAAATACAGGTAGACACATTCTTTTACATATAACTTCAACAGTTCATAGATCTGAAGCCCACCCATGAACTCCAAGTTCTGAACATTGCTTTAGAGAATACACCAGCTAGAGTATGTACACACCAGTAGAGAACCTTAGGAAATTCCCTTTTCTCTGAGCTTAATTTTTCAAGGCCAAAGAACTTAGAGGTAAGGAACTTAGAGGCTTTAGACAATATAAAATGTTGTTTGGGGGCCACTTCTGGTGATTGTTTAGAATGTAGATTTTAGGTTTCTACTCCAGATCTACTCTGGAAGTGGAGCCCTGGAATCCTCAATTTAACAGAATCCCCAGGAAATTCTGATGCACACTGAAGTAAAGGAATTAAACTACGTTAAAAAAAAAATTAGCCAGTACTGCAAATCACAAAAGAGCAATCTGTCAACTGCACACCCAGTTGCTCTAAGCACAGATAATGGCACATTCAATATGACAACACAATAATGACATATTACTGCTGTTACCTTCCACTTGGAATACTAACTTAGGATTCTAAATATGTCATTTTATTTTCTACAGTACAACAAAAATATGAAATTTTAAAATTAGCCTCAAATTAAAGAGTAGGGGCCTGAACAGTATTTGAAATTGAATACACTAATATCAAAGAAGCTAATACAAATAAGCAGTAAAGCAGGTGTTATATGACTATGACATCTCTCCCTGAGTTCAATATTAATTACAGAATCATGAGTTTAAAACATTTAGAGAATACAACATTGCTTCTGTTTTAATTCTCACCCAGGCTACTAAAGGATGTAAAACTTGTGATCAGTTCAGGCTATGTCTACAAGGGTTTGTCAGACCCATTAAATTAGATTTTGTAGACAGCCAGATCTATTGGGAGTTTTTATGATGCAAAAAGATATACACATTGCGAAGCATACTCTCTTCTAAAACTATAAGGAAAACATAAGGTGCAGTTATCCATTCCTAAGGAACTGAGTCCCACTGAAGTGATTCAAATAGAATGTCGGGGTCCAATTCAGTTCATTCAATCAATAGAAACCTAGCCTTCATCAAGCCATCAATCCATTATCTTCACCTGAAAGTCCTGCCAGCCCTTCAAACTCAAACTGTCTAATAAGGAACTCAGCATCTTCCCACAGAAATCGGCTTCTCCTCAAAGACAGCATCATTATCTTTTTACCCACCAGCTATCAGTTTAAGCCTGCGTTCATCTTTGACCTCACTCTTTCCTCCAACATCCAATTAATAATCTAAATACCTCTAGAAATTGAATGTAATCTTCCCATTCCTGCTGTTACTACCTCATTTCTGGCTCTGATTACCTGGATGCTTGCAATATTCTCCCTACTAGTGTCCCTTCATCCAATCTCACCATTTGTCCTTAATTCATTCTGGACATTTGCTGTCAGATTACTCTTCCCAAGGTCTAAGTGTTAATCACTTAACCCTCCTGCTCCAAAACACTTCAAAAGCTTCCCACTGAATACTGGAAAGCCAGATTCCTTGGAATACCATTTAAGGGCCTGTATGATTCGGTTCCACCTTAACCTTCAAGACTTATTTCCTGATTCCCTTTCTTGCATCTCAGTCTTCATTCAACCCCATATTCTTTGTTTCCTTGCTCTACTCACCAACATACCCTTTCTTATGCTTTTCTTTTTACTTAAAATGCCCTTCCCACCTTCACAGATCGAAATCTCATCTGACCTTTAAGATCTAGCTCAAATGCCAACTTTTATATGAAGTATTTTCTAACTTAACATTCAACAAATACATACCAAGTATCTATTTGGTACCAGACACTGAGCTTCAGCCCTTGGAGACAAGGGCCTGCTTCCCTTTCCCTCCCCAGTTAAAACAATCTACTTTCTTTGAAATCTCATAGCATGTCGACATATTTTATGACATGTAATACTATCCACATTGTTGGGTTTTTTTTTTTTGAGACAGGGTTTTGCTCTGTCACTCAGGCTGGAGTCCAGTGACAGAATCAAGGCTCACTGCAGCCTCCACCTCCAGGGCTCAAGCGATCCTCCCACCTCAGCCTCCAAAGTAGTTGGGACTACAGGTGTGCACCAACATGCCCAGCTAATTTTTGTATTATTTGTAGAGACAGGGTTTTACCATGTTACCCAGTTTGCTCTCCTAGGCTCAAGAATCTGTCCACCTGAACCTCCCACAGTGCTGGGATTACAGGCATGAGCCACTGTACTCGGCCACTATCCATATTGTATTGTACTTCTTTATGTCCATGTTTACCTTCCCCTACCAGCCTGATAGCCAAACTTCCTAGAGCTTATAAGGAGACAGTTGGTAAATATATGTTAAATAGGTAAATACCTATTTGTTTTATCTCCAGACAGTGAGATCATCATTTTTTTCTAACTTAATGGAATATTTTAGCCATAATATAGACTTCGTTTTAATTCTACAAGCAAAACCAATAGAACCAATCTCAAAAGAAACAGTTAATATCTCAGGAGAAAACAAAAACCAATACACAGGCTATCCTAGAAAGTTGGTGTTTCAAATAACTGACCAACCTAAAAAAAAAAAAAAGTATTTTTTTTTTTTTTGCCAGAATACCCAGTCAAGATTGCACAAGCATGACATTAATGAAATCAAAGCAGGTAAAGTATGTGTTATCATGGAGGGTTGTCATTTTTGTCCTTCTCATTTTCCTATTGCCTCCCTTCACATGTTGTTTTCATTGTGGCCCAGGAAGCTATCATGGCAAAGATGGAGGAAAAGAGGAAATGGCCAGTCAGATGAGAAGGCCATATTCTGTTCTGTTTTGGGGAATCCGAGCAAAGCGCAAGTACAAGTTTCATGTGTGAAAAGAGTGAGTTTTTCCTCTTTTGTCATGTAAAAATAACAGTAGTTTACATTTAATAAATACATATTATGTGCTAGGTACTATACTAAGTACTTTATATGCATTATCACATTTAATATTCACACAAGACCTAGGAGGTAAGTACTATTATTATTCCCTCTTAAAGCTGAGGAAAGAAGCTCAGAGAAGCTAAGCTACTTTCCCAATGTCACATACTTAGTAAATAGCGAAATCAGATTAAATGCCTACATCCAGAACCTACACTCTTTCTTTTTTCATTTTATTCTTAATTGTAGTAAAATATATATAACATAAAATTTACCATCTTAACCATTTTTAGGTATACATTTCAGTACTGTTGAGGATATTGTTGTATAATGATCAAAGCCATTCATCTCCATAACTCTTTTCATCTTGTAAAACTGAAACTCTGTACCATTAAACAACTCCCCACTCCCCCTGCTCCCAGCTCCTGGCAACTAGTATTCTACTTTCTGTCTCTATGAATTTGACTCCTTTAGGTACCTCGTATATGTGGAATCATATAGTATATACCCTTTTGTGACTGGCTTATTTCATTTAGCATAATGTTTTCCTGGTTCATCCATGTTGTAACATGTGTCAGAATTGTCTTCTTTTTAAGGCTTAATAATATTCTACTGTTTATACATACCATCTTTTGTTTACCCCCTCATTTGTTGATGGACACTTGGGTTGCTTCCACCATTTGCCTGCGGTGAATATTGCTGCAATGAACGTGGGTGTATAAATATCTCTTGGAGATCCTGCGTTCAATTATGGGTATATACCCAGAAGTGGAATAGCTAGATCATATGGTTAATACCATTTTTAATTTTTGAGAAGCTGACATAACATTTCAGAACCTTTACTCTTTACAACTAAAGAAGATCTACTGGTGTCATACTGGCTACCTAGGGTTATGTCAAGCAGACATGTGTCCACTATAAAAGGCATTTGTCTGCTATAAAAGGAAGAAGAATCAGCTTGGCCATCCATGACTGTTTGAATAAATGGTTAGGAGATTTTCAGTAATGCAAATTATTTCACCCCTAAAAAAGCAAATGAGGCAGGAAGTAATTTCTATCAGAATATCTGAGATCATTTTCTGTCTAATGTGTTCAAATACTCTTTCAGATACTATAGCACTTTCAACAACTAGGTTACTTATTTTCTAGTCACTTCTCTGATAAAAATGATCTATGTGACTTTGGACAAAGTCACTTCCCTCACTGTACCTCGGTTTGTTGGAACAAGTGACATACAAAACTTATACTGTTATAACCTTAGAGAAGCTATTTAATTTCTCAAAACCTCAGTTTCCTCATCTGTAAAATGGGGACAATGGTGAGACTTACTTAATTGGGCTGTAGGAAAGATTAAGTACTTATAAAAATAAAATTATCTTACAGTTTGTATTGTAAGTGTACACTGTAGGTGTTGAGAGAAATTTTTATTAACATGATTATTATTCTCAAAGTTCTACATGTAAGAGAAACGGAAACATTGTTCACATAAAAACCCTGTACAAGAATGTTCCCAGTAGCTTTATTTGTAATAGCTAGCAACTGAAAATTTTCTAGAGAGACTTCGATGTATGAATGGTTAAACAAACAGTGGTACAATCATACCGTGGAATACTCAGAGATAAAAAGGAACACAAATTATTGATATACACAATAACTTGGATTAATCTTAAAAGAATTAAACTGAGTAAAAAAAGCCAATCCCCAAAAGTCACATGCTGTATTATTTCATTTACATGAAATGTCCAGAAAGCCAAATCCATAAAGGCAGAATCTATATTAGTTCTTGCCTGTGACTAGGGTGGGGTGAGTGGAGTTAACTGTAAGCCGGTACGAAGGATTTTACTGGGGTGATGGACATGTTCTAAAACTCAGTTGTGGTGATGGTAGCACAGGTATATATATTTACCAAAACTCATTGAACTGTTTACCTGAAAATAGGTGAATTTTATATAACTGAATTATACCTTAAAACTGTTTTTAAAAGACTCTATATCTAAAACCTGGATCTATGCAGTTATATTCTCTTGAATCTTTGGAAACACCCATCATGTGAAACAGTTTTCAATTTTTCACTTACCGAAGGATGGGCTGCTATGTATCCATGTGCACTTTTATCTGCAAAGTGAGAATAGAGAGGTCACTTTTGTTTCACAAAGACTGTTTCATTCAGAGACCACACCAGAAAAATAAAAATGAAAAAACTGCATGATTTCAACTAGAAGGAAATGTTCCAATTTAGTATTAACTAGATATTATGACTAATGACATAGCTTTTCTTAAAATAGCTCACACCATTACATCCTCACCATATTCTTACTAGGTCATTTTACAGACATTAATGAAGGCCTCTGGTGAATCTCATTTATATGGAAGAATGACAAGATTACCTACTCTTAACTGATATGATTCTATACATCTATAGTAGTCCCCCTTATCTGAAGTTTCACTTTTTGTGGTTTCAGCTACCTGTGGTCAACTGTGATTCAAAAATATTAAATCAAAAATTGCAGAAATAACCAATTCATGAGTTTCAAACTGCATGCCATTCTGAGTATGATAAAATATCATGCTGTCCTGCTCCATTCCACCTGAAACATGAATCATCCCTTTGTCCAGTGTACCCACTCTGTTTACACTACCAGCCTACTAGTCACTTAATAGCCAGTTTGGTTATCAGAACAACTGTGGAGCTATCACAGTGCCTGTAGTCATATACCCCTTATTTTACTTCATAATGGCCCCAAAGAGCAAAAGTAGTGATGCTGGCATATTGTTATAATTGTTCTATTTTATTATTAGTTATTGTTGTTTATCTCTTACTGTGCTTAATTTATAACTTTATCATAGGTAAGCAGGTATAGACAAAAAACATGGTATACATAAGGTTCAGTACTATCCATGGTTCCAGGCATCCACTGGAGGTCTTAGAACATATTCCACGTGAGTAAGTGGGGAACTACTCTGTATCTAGGATTTTTCCCACTTTCCTCTTTCCCTACCTCCTTTCCATTCCTTCTTTCCACCTTCCTGTGCTATCTCCATCTTCTCCTCCTCTTCTCCTGTGCAATTAGTCAGTCCCAATACCAAAGCATTCAGAAAACCTATGATGAGGTACACTCAGCCTTCAGTACAGTACAACTATACAGTTTTAATATAGTTGTCAGGATTTCATCTTTGTAAGTTGAGAGAAATTTGGCATATAAAACTAAGTGTTAAACAGCAATGGCTATTTGGAGTAAAGAACAAACTCTGATACTCTAAAGTGTATTCATGGTTACAGTGAAATGATTTCTTGAATACATTTTCAGTTCTGGTTGCCTATGGGTCTAACTTGGAGCACAGCTCTTGATTTTCTCACATGAAACATTTTTTGATATGTCACCAGGATCTCTTAGATATTTTATTCTATGTGGAAGCTTAAATATAGTAAAAAGTTTTCCTTGATGGCTTTCTTTTTAGGTTTTCAACACTGAATAACAGCAGTTAAGCAATCTTCTCATTTTAAGAAAGTCCAGTTTAGCAGTTTGGGCTTTGATATTTGATATGGCCAAATCAGACACTCTTCCCCTTCCAAGGGTATCCTTGGATCATTCTCAAAGAAACTTAAAGCCTGCTTATACTAAATCCAGTGCCAAGAGGTAGGGGCTCTTTATAGCTGGAGTACTAATGATAATACTCCCTTCATTCTTTAGATGTTAAATAATAAGTTAATAGATTATTGTAGAGAGAGAACTCAAATCATCTATCTCAAAATGTGAAAGTATTATTTGGTATATATATTTCAGTTGCTGATATGGCTTGCCTGTGTCTCCACCCAAATCTCAACTTGAATTCTATCTCCCAGAATTCCCAAGTGTTGTGGGAGGGACCCAGTGGGAGGTAATTGAATCATGGGGGCCGGTCTCACAAGATCTGATGGGTTTATCACGGGTTTCTGCTTTTGATTCTTTCTCATTTTCTCTTGCTGCTGCCATGTAAGAAATGCCTTTTGCCTCCCACCATGCTTCTGGGGCCTTCCCAGCCATGTGGAACTGTAAGTCCAATTAAACCTCTTTTTATTCCCAGTCTTAGGTATGTCTTTATCAGCAGCCGGAAAATGGACTAATACAGTAAATTGGTACCAGTAGAGTGGGGCATTGCTAAAAAGATACCGAATAATGTGGAAGTGACTTTGGAACTGGGTAACAGGCAGAGATTGGAACAGTTTGAAAGGGCTCAGAAGAAGACAGAAAAATGTGGGGAATTTGGAACTTCATAGAGGTTTGTTGAATGACTTTGTCCAAAATGCTGATAGCAATATGGACAATAAAATTCAGGCTGAGGTAGTCTCAGATGGAGATGAGGAACTTTTGGGAACTGGAGCAAAGGTGACTCTTGTTATGTTTTAGCAAAGACACTGGCGGCATTTTGCCCCTGTCCTAGAGATTTGTGGAACTTTGAACTTGAGAGAGATGATTTAGGATATCTGGTGGAATAAATTTCTAAGTAGCAAAGCATTCAAGAAGTAACTTGGGTATTGTTAAAGGCATTCAGTTTTATAAGGGAAACAGAGCATAAAAGTTTGGAAAATGCGCAGCCCGACTATGTGATAGAAAATAAAAACTCATTTTCTTGGAAGAAATTCAAGCCGGTTGCAGAAATTTGCATAAGTAGCAAGGAGCCTAATGTTAATCCCCAAGACCATGGGGAAAATGTCTCCAGGCCATGTCAGAGAACTTCACGGCAGCCCCTCCCATTACAGGCCCATAGGCCCAGGAGGAAAAAGTGGTTTGTGGGCCAGCTCCAGGGTCCCTGTACCGTGTACAGCTTGGGGCTTGGTGCCCTGTGTCCTAGCTAATCCAGCTTTATCTGAAAGGGGCCAACACACAGCTCAGGCTGTGACTTCAGAGGGTGGAATCCCCAAGCCTTGGCAGCTTCCACGTGGTGTTGAGCCTGCACATGCACAGAAGTCAAGAATTGAGGTTTGGGAACATACACCTAGATTTCAGAAGATGTACGGAAATGCCTGGATGCTCAGGCAAAAGTTTACTGCAGGGTTGGGGCCCTCATGGAGAACCTCTGCTAGGGCAGTGCGAAAGGGAAATATGGGGTCAGAGCCCACACACAGAGTCCGTACTAGGGCACTGCCTAGTGGAGCTGTGAGAAGAGGGCCACCATCCTCCAGACCCCAGAATGGTAGATTCACTGAAAGCTTACACCATGCACCTGGAAAAGCCACAGACACTCAACAGCAGCCTGTGAAAGCAGCTGGGAGGGAGGCTGGAACCTGCAGAGTCACAGGGGTGGAGCTGCCCAAGACCATGGGAATCCACCACTTGCATCAGCATGACCTAGATGTCAGACCTGGAGTCAAAGGAGATCATTTTGGAGCTTTAAGATTTGACTGCCCCGCTGGATTTTGGACTTGCATGGGCCCTGTAATCCCTTTGTTTTTGCCAATTTCTCCCATTTGGAATGGCTGTATTCACCAAATGCCTGTACCCCTATTGTATCTAGGAAGTAACGAGCTTGCTTTTGATTTTACAGGCTCATAGGCAAAAGGGACTTGCTTTGTCTAAGATGAGACTTTGGACTGTGGACTTTTGGGTTGATGCTGAAATGAGTTAAGACTTTGGGGGACTGTTGGGAAGGCGTGATTGGTTTTGAAATGTGAGGGCAAGAGATTTGGAGGGGCCAGGGGCGAAATGATATGGTTTGGCTGTGTCCCCACCCAAATCTCAACTTGAATTGTATATCCCAGAATTCCCACATGTTGTGGGAGGGACCCAGGGAGAGGTAATTGAATCATGAGGGCTGGTCTTTCCCATGGTATTCTCATGAAACTGAATAAGTCTCATGAGATCTGATGGGTTTATTGGGGTTCTTCACTTTTTTTTCCTTCTCATATTCTCTTGCTGCTGTCATGTAAGAAGTGCCTTTCACTTCCCACCATGATTCTGAGGTCTCCCCAGTCATGTGGAACTGTAAGTCCAATTAAACCTCTTTTCCTTCCCAGTCTTGGACATGTCTTTACCAGCAGCATGAAAATGGACCAATACAGTTGCTTATAGTGCAAATTTGAACATCAAAGCTCCAAACAAAGACTAAATCTACACACTAGCAAATGAGGTCAAGATTTGGCAATAACATGGATATTTCAATTTCTAAACATAGTGAGATATAGTTTTCTCTTTTCGGTCTGATTTGGGGGTCTTATCAAAATAACCTGACACCAAACAAAATGTGTGCTGTGTCATCATGCTGCAAATCAATGAATCTAAGGGACAAAATAAATTTCCAGAGACCATGGTTTCATGCATGCAACTCTTACTTAATGAACATATCACAAAGCTCGATAAATGACTGAGTGTCTTTATGACAGTAAAGAGACAACAATTGTCACTACCAATTCAAGCTCACAACTACTACTTCACTAAATAATTACCTTATTTTGATTCTAAAAATACTTGAGTTATATAACTTAACATCAACCTCAAATTCTGACTCATTTTTTGGTTTCCTTATGTTGATGGCATTTGAAGAAGGTACTAGAACTGACTTCAAATGTCCCACAGACATTTTGTTCTCAACATCACGCTCTGAGATTGAAATTACTTCTTCACCTTTGATACCACAGACTTCCTCTTACCTCCTGATGTAAAGCTCATGTATTTCTGGTTGTTGACTGTTTCTTTGGAATCATAGAATTTGAGAACATCTAGAACAGCTTGGGGGTTCTTCTTCTGTTCCAATTTTGTTATGTTAGAGGTTTGGAGTAATCGTGCCCATTGCTCGGGAATTCCCTGTGGACAACCAAAGTGAAAGAATGGTGGCTCAGAACATTCTGTAGCAGCACTTTTATGTTCCAGTAAAGTTCTTCACCAAGAAGCCCATGCTACCTGTAGGATTACACTTGGGAAACTGAAGTTACATTCTAGATTTAAAGTTAGTAACTTAATAATGCAATCATTCTCTTCTCTAATTAAAACACATAGGTAAAACTAGGATCCAACTTAAAAAGGGTGGGTGGGAGTATGACTGTGATAGAAAAAAAAAAAGCGCATGAAAATCACCTCCATATTGACTCTGCTCATCCATGAAATGATGTTTACGGCTTAGCTTATTTTTTTTCTGGCGACTCAGGGCAGACATAGCAAGACTTCTCTAAATTTGTGCACAGCATAGTAAAGTGCAGATCAATGGGTTTTATGACTGGAATAACATAAGCTGTTTCTGGTCATGTTGTAATCAGAATATATTTTAGAATAAAAGGAAAGGATCACCCTTGGTCAGGTTATACTTCATGATTACAAAATGTAATTTTTTGGGTCTAGAGCTTTACTATAAAGTCAGGTCGGTAGGAGAGAAAAATAGAATTGTGGAGGAGCAAGAACCACTGAGATGCTAAACAGTAACATTAATGCTGCTTTGGGCATTTTCCCTGCAGCTTTCTCCAGGGCATGCCCTCCTTCTCCTCTCCTCTCTCTTTCCCTTCCTCCTCACTTCATTTTTAGGCCACATAGAACCTGGGGACTACGAAAACCACGCCAAAGCCTTGTGAGAATTTATAATAATCTGAAGCATTTAGAGCAGAGAGGAGGGAGTATTTGGAAATATAACCAAGGAGAATTGCAAAAATTAGAGGTTAGCTTTGCATTGAGCATTCAACATTCTTTCCTACATGTTCAGCCTACAGAAGTCTCAATTTCATAATTATCCAACCTCCAAGAGAAACTTGGAGAGAGAAACAGACACTATTCCTGAAGTGCATCCAGACACAATTTATGTGGCTTTGTCCTATGAAGTCTCGGCAAAACAATGTGTGACGTGGGCCTCCAGAGTTTGGGAATGACAACAAAAAAAGTGAGATAAGCCAAGCAACAACTCTACTGCACACACATGAACCTGCTGCTGCAGTGCTATGACATCTCAAAGAAGCACTTTGATGCAAGCTTCTTTTGGGCCTGTGACGCACCTCTGGGAGCTTCCCTGGGCACATCTGTGAGCCATAGAGATCTGGCTGTAATGGACGTAAATAAAGAAAGAAAAGAAAGTTAAAACAGAATGTGGGACAACTTAGAAGGTGGGAGGAGATGAAATCAATGGGTCTGAATGGGGGGAGTCCCTTCTAAAGTGGGGCGGTTATGAAAATAGGGAGGTTTTAACTAAATCAGGGATAGGACAGGCTACAGGACAACAGATTTAAGAGAACAGAGAAAATGACAATGTTCCAAAGTTTGGATGTATAATCCCACTTTTGGCAAGATGCTTCCTCCATAAATATGTATTAATAAGAATTACCATTAAATGATTGGAGAAATTATTAAAAGGCAGAAATATGAATTTGGAGGCAAGAAGGATGGCATCATGAAAAGCTTTGACAATAGTTTGCAAGTTGTTTTTATAATTGGGTGACCACAGGTAGCCAATGGCCATGTGAGAAACTTACAAATTTCAGTTCCCAATTCTGGTTAACCAATTTTAGTTTCAAAAGTGTGTATGTGGCTAAAATTCAAAGGATGGCTGTATGGAAACACTGAATTTTATTCTCATTGGTGTGATTCTTTTTCACTTTGTAGCTAAAGTCATGGCTGGCTTAGAGAAAACTAGGTAAAGAACATTCCCACACAGCCAGACTCTATATTTTAAGTTTCTTAGATATTTAGACTAGGGAAAGGGAAACCGTTCCATTTCAAACCATATATATATAATTTCCATTTTAGTACTGCAGTTCTAAAATCCCGCTTCCCACAAAATAAGACAAGATATAAGGTAACAGCTTTGCCTAAATAAAGATCTCTCAAATGCTACAGAAACATGCTTGACCCAACTGGCTTGATTTTGGATATATGTCCTTGATTCCTGGTATTTGGGGTTACTCCAAGCACAGTGAAATGACACTTTTACATGCATTTTTCACGCGGCTAGATGCTAAAGCCTTAAGCCAAAAATTTGAACTCAGGAGCCCATGCATTATCCCAGTTCTGATTCTAAGTGCAATTAATAGCATTTGGTTAATACCGTAATGGCCAAAGGAGTTATTAAGTGTTACAAATTGAGGTATGCATTGCACATTACCACTAGAGCAGATGTTACTGGCGTAATCATTACCATAATCATTAGAATATTTGCAGTTATTATACATTCCCATGGCACTTCTAAGCTTTTGTGATAAATAGTCTTATGATCACTAGACAGCAGGAAAAAATGCTGTCAATAGCAAAAAATCCTCCAGACAACTATACTTACCACATGACTACACTGCTGACATAATTTTGACTATACTGCTGATATTTCTTTTTTCTAAGTTGAGACAAACCCAATTATCAATAAAACCTGACATTCAAGTTTGAATGTATGCCACAAAGGCACATAGTCATAAAGCCATCTCATTATGCCACAGTGAGAAACTAATCCCAAAAGTCAGACAGCTAATGAAGACCTAAGAGTTTGAGCATCAGAAGCAGAAGCACATATCAATGCCTGACTGTGTATATGATACCAACTAGAAGTACATCAAGCTGGGGGTTGTCCAGTGTAGCCCAGGAGAATGGCAGCATGATATAACAGGCCAAGCATTTATCTTATCATAAGAAATGATAATTTATATCACTCATACCATTTTTCCCTCTGATTGACTTGAAGCGACCGTCACAGGTCTAGAGGTCTGGAAAGGGGAGTTCTGAAGTATTTGGGACAAAAATGGCAATATAAAGGGTAAGGACCTGTAATCATTGAATACCAAAAATCTCACCTCCCAACCTACGTTTAGCTTCAGGGTCCAAGTGTATGACCAGGTATACAAACAAGGTCATATGGGCCAATTAGCCAGAGAGTAATCACCAAGCAACACAGCAAATCAGTGTCCAAATATTCAAAATAACAAGCCCTTGTAAGACAACTGGATTAGATAGTTCAGCAAATTGCACAAAATTCAACCTAAACAACCACGATAATCAAACTTAACAATATGATCCCCTCCCAACACACAATAAATTAGTGGTGCATTGACAATTAGGACCCAATTCTAAATCCTACCAATAAAAACACTTTCTTGAAAGCTTTTTATAATTTGGCATGTTTAAATTTAATAAACATAATAATATAGTAAATGTAAACCACAGGTTAAAAAAGTACCAAAAAGGGCAGAATTTGGCATCTTTAAAAATAATGTATGAACAAGTAGTTACAAAAGATCATCCAGATGACAATAAAGTACTTCCATTTACCAAATTTAACCTATGTCTATCTATATATTCAATGGATTCATAACAATGGAATATTTCCAAACGGCTATCTTACTTCAAATTGGGGATATTTTTAGTGGGGAGAGGGGTATTTGTTTCATATGGTTTGGCTGTATCCAACTGTTTTTCATCATTGGAAAGATAGCCTATCACTTTGGGTTCTTTGGGTTCTAATTGACAGCAAAATGAAAATGACTGGTGCTGCAGTTAGCGAGATGGTGGTGATTTACTTTCTTTCATTTCCATTCAGAATCCAGAAAGATAAATGAAAGAGCTAGAGAGAGAGATACTGTATAATAAGATGACAAGTAAGTTTGAAAAGTGGAAAGAATAAAATATTGGAAAGCAACTAGAATGTCACATGGGATAACTGGATGAGAAAATTTTCACATCAGAAAACAAAAAGGAAGAAAAAAAGAAAAATAGTGAATGACAACAATAAAACGCAAGAGTAGTTTAAATGAGGAAAAGCACAGAGAACATTAAAATGTCAAAGCTGGAAAAATTAATAAAAAAGGGAAGAGTTATTAGGCAAAACCTTTATAAAGTTTAAGGGATTTTCTTGTTTCAAGTGTCAGCAAAAATAGTTAAAATATTTGTATAATTTTTAAAAAATATAAAGTTTTTCAGGTTATACAAATTACTTTTTTTCTGGTGGTGATGATGGTGGTGGTAGTGGTAATAGCAAGGCTGGAGTATCTAAGTGTGGCTAAGAGAATATTCTGCAAATATAGTAAAGACTAGGTTCAAACTCAAAGCCATTTGAGTAATGTCTCTGACTTTAATGATGAAATTGGTTAAATCTTACCTATCTCCACTTTATGTGTAAATATTTCTTAACGTTCTCCTCTGCTTGCTACCGAGAACGCAGAAATAATCAGCTCACACCACTTTACGAGGCCAAGGTGTTTACTGTTTCCATTTCCATTCTCATATCACTTACTTCCAGAATTGAAAAAATAAGATAATTTGACTGTCAATTCAGCAACATTGTTTGCTTCTCCACATAGATTAATTTGTTCCTTCTTTTTTTCCACTTAATCATATAACACAGTCTATTCACTACTATGTTATGAAACAAAAAACTCAACTACTTAATATGTAAATTTCTCTCTGGTTTAACAGCACAGGAATTGATAGTGATGGCTCTATCAAAGATTTTTCTTGAAATGCCCTCAAAATTACTCCTTATTTCAGAATGTACATTTTGATGGAGTTCATTAATAGCATGGAAAAAGGTAGTTGACCTTCCTGGGGACATATTTCTAGCCATAGCCACATCTTTTCCCTCATTGATCTAAAAAAAAAAAAGTTACCAGTTCTTTTTTTAAAAAAAGTATAAAATTTCATAGATCTGAGATCTTATGCTGTTTGAGCACTACAAATATTCAGCAAAAGTCTTGATCTATAGCTATGGTCTATCCAGAGAATTCTCATCGGTATTTACTATGGATTGCATAACATCTCTAGAGAGAGATATCTAGAGAGAGAGGAGAGAGATGCACATAACAACTAGAACATACATGATATATCCATCAAAATTTCTTCTTGAAATATAAGGTTTGTTTTTTGAATATCTGCAAAATGTACCTACTAAAAATTATAAAATAATCTACGTTCTTGAAATCAAAGGGAAAAGCAGGTCAGTTCCATAGAGATTCTTGGTTAGTGTAGTTAACTGAGCTGGGTATATTCTAGGTTTTAATGTAAAGCCTGAAATATTTTTATGGATTATTTTCACTGGCCAAGGTGAGTAGATGATTCTCTGATTCAGTTCACTTGATAAAGAAAAAGCTCAGGCAGTGTCTCTCTGCCAGGAGTACAATTTCTGTGCCATGGTTAGTTAATATTTTCAACCAAGTTGAGACTATACAGTGATCAAACTTTTTTAAAAGATGGACAAAATAATTCGGCCAATGCTGTTGCCATCCTCTATTTCCATCTATGATTGCCTAGGCAATGTCCATCTTATTTGGAACCATCAAAAATATTAAGTCTGACATTTTGGGACATGGCAATTCTTGCTTGAAACCTATTTTCACAAGGGAATTCTTTCGTGGCTTACAAAACAAAACAAGGAGCTTACTTACAGTGAATTCCCCGGTGACTGCATCAAACCCCACATGAATCGTATGCTCAAAGTCTGAAGGAAGAGAGATCTCTGGGCGCTCTTTCTCCTTCTTCTTATTGGCTAAAGGCAAAATGTTAACATGTATTTATTTGGGGTATAGTTTTGGCATCCACAAGTTGTACAATTAGGTTCATCAAAAGAATTACAAAGTTGAAAGACAATTGATTCCAACGCAATTTTAACAACACTTAACTCCAGAAAATCCAATTATTTGCAGAAGTAGCTAAGAGTATGATGACAAATGTTATGTCCAAATAATTCAAAATTTCCAAAACTCATTTGAAACAATTCTCTCATTCAAACTGATTTCTGCCTTTTACCAGTGTAACCAGGAGGTATCTAGGGATATTGTGCTTAACTGGCTTTGTTGAATCAAATACCACTTACTAAGGAAGAAATTCATCATACACAAGTCAAGCTAAGGCATACTATTAGAAAGAACGAACAGAAAAGAAAATCACTTCAGCTTTCGATAAAGATATTGTGAATTGTTTCTATGTTAACAATAGCTAATAATCAAGTGGTTGGTACTTATTTAATTTAACATGTTTATATTATTAACCATATCTTAATAGACTCTTCTATTAACAAGAATATCACTGCAAATCAATTATGTTACAAACCTTTTTTATTATCAAAAATATTTCAATCATTTCCTACCCAGCACTTTGCTAGTAAAAAGCTACAAATTGCTCCTTTTTTTTTTTTTTTTTACTGAATTAATTTTATTTAGTTTTCAGAAAACTTAAAGCCATTCCTTGGTTTAGTTTTTCTAGTTTGTAGTTATTTTTCCATGTTTCCATTACATTTTATCATATCAGCCATTCAAAAATCACTGTTTTTCAAGTAGCAGATTTTTCATAGTTACATATTTATAAATAAATGTATCAGTAGCTCATAATTTAAAAGCCTAAAAAGATATAATCACTGAATAAACTAAGTTGAGAACTATAGTCTATCTGGAAATAGTTCCCAGGAGGAAGTCACTATGGAAACACTCTAAAATGGCATCTAGCAGCTTCCATAACACACTCATTTGCAGATCTGAGCATGTATCTCTGGTGAGGCTACATTTCACACTGAAAAAAATAGTACTCACCCTCCTAATACAGGGCAAGTCAGCATGAACCAGGTTTACTCAGTTAAAACCAATCAGTTTCAGAATTGCCAGGGTGGTCAATTTAGAACATTCTGGTTCAAATAGATGTTGCCTTGGCCTGAATTACAGACAACACTCAACCATATATTGATTAGTGGTTTTGTGGGTTACCCGTGATAAATTTTAAATTCAAAACTTTTCATGTTCAAAGGCTATTCTTATGACTTCTTGTCTCATTCCACTCTCTCTCACTGTTCCTTATCTCCAGCCACAAGACAGAGATATGGGGCAGAAATATGAAAACTGAACTAGTGTGAGGAAATATACAGGATCAGGAAATAAAGGTTGGGAGCAGGGGAACAAGAGTCACCGAAGGCCTTTGCCTGGCCATGGAGCACATTTAGGACTCATTTTGAAAAAAATACGTAAATGCCATATAACTTACCCTCAGTACAGATTCCATTTTTATAGTGAGCCTACATTATTCATGAATATTATTCTAACTCAATAGTGAAGTTTAGAGCTTTCTGTTGGTACTCCTACTTCCCTTGCATGTTTGTGAACTATAGCTAACATTTATACTTGTTCAACTACCATTTTTTACTTGTTCAGAAAGGCACTCTGGTCTCATCACTCCTTTGAAGGTGTCCTCGCCACTCCTGTAATCATTTTCTTACTTTTTCTCTTTCATGACGTCCCATCCATGCTGGCCATGGCTAGCTACTTCTCTTTTTACTTCCTTGACAATGTGGCCTGGCATTCCTCCTTTCTCAGTGACCATTCTTTCTTTGATTGTCATTGCTTTTGACTTTGCTAGTTCAGTTTTTGGCCTTCTGCATTTCCTTCTCTATTGGATTGCCTCCACTCCCAAATACTAACTCAGGTAATTCCCTAATCTGTGGTTGGCAGGGGTGGATCCACATGTTGGGGGACCAAATACTTTATGTAACTTGAGAGGAAGGTTCCCTTTAAGTAAAAAACATTGTAAAATTACAAATACAAATGTACCGGGGCCCCTCCCAGGGCCTTGGAAGGGTTCCAGGCAAGTCAGGAATTCTGAAGGAGCAGTTTCATTCACTTCACAGTAACTAGCTCTTGGTAAGCTTTTTGGGGTCAATCTTCTGAAAAATCTGAAGAAAGCTATGGAACTTCTGCCCATAAAAATGTACTATATACATATACTTTCACAGATTCATAATTCCCCTGGACTCCAAGCTAAGAGCCCCTACCTTAATCTGTACCTCCAAACCTTCTATCAACTTGAATTCATGGCCCCTCTTGTCAGCAAATAAACTCTCCCAACTTTTCTATTAGTAGCAAATTGACTAAACACTCCACTTGGGCTGAGTTATATGCATAATTGGCTTAATGGTGTTCTCCTAGAAGGCCACCTGACTGCCAATCCCTTATCAGCTTGACTATGCAATTTTCTTCACTCAGGGCTAAACATAACAAAGGCAGGAAGCCCAAGTTTGCTCCTCTTCTAGTGTTCCCTATCTCAGTGAAATGATACCACTAACCACACAGATTAAAGAAGAAGCAAGGCCTTAGGCTCCTCCTCCTTTAGGCAGCTCTGAGCAATGAAAAAAAAAAATTATAATCCTCCTCTGCAATATGCAATTCAAATAAAAACAATACTAAGGCATAAATAATTAAGGAAGTGAAAAAGTTCTGATGTTCCTATGGTGATTGAGTCTTTTTTTAAGCTATATATTCAAAATTAAACTGTTTCCACATTTTGGGTACTTCTGATTTACTAGATGCCATATACAAATGCTTTCTCTGGCTCCTGAGTAATCCAGCAGTGGCCCAGCTGCCCAAACCAAGAATCTGGGAGTCGTCTTTCACTCCTTTATTTCTATGCTAATTGATCATCAAGTTTTATATATTCTATCTCCTAAACTGGTCTTGAACGTTGAATCTTCATCCCCACAAATAATTATCTTAGTCCAAGGCATCAGCACTTCTCACTTAGCGTCACTGCCTCCAATTTTATTCACTTCCATTCATTTCTCTACTCTGTGGCTAGATCACATTCCTGCATTTTGTGTGTGTGTGGTGTTGTTGTTGTTGTTGTTTATTTGTTTGTTTGATGGAGTCTCACTCTGTTGCCCAGGCTGGAGTGCAGTGGCATGATCTCGGCTCACTGCAAACTCTGCCTCCTGGGTTCAAGTGATTCTCCTGCCTCAGCCTCCTAAGTAACATTCTTGCCTTTAAGATGCTTAAATGCTGTCCCCTATTACCCGTAAGTTAAAAGTTCAGTTTCTTAGCATGATATTCAAGGGCCTGCATGATATGTTCCTAGTTTACCACTCCAGCTTCTCTATTCTTGCCATGGGCCCTACTACTTATACACATTCAATGCTCCCTAAGCTGCCAGGCTTTCTCATACCTCCAAGCTTTTATACATGCCATACCTAGGCCTGGAAAGTCTTACTTCTTACCCTTTCCCCCAAATTTATGTGGATCACTCCTATTAGTCCTTACTCTTAAAGACTCACTCTTGGGCTTTTTCTCCTTTGGCAAGTCTTTTCCTATCTCCTCTCTGCAGACAAAGTTAAATGCCTGTCCTTTCATGCTCCCATAGAACTACTCAGTGTATACTTGGAGCTTGGTATCATCAGCATAGGATTATTTTTTACATATCTACCTCTCTATCTAAAATTTGAGATAATTGACAGTAAAGAGTGTAATTTATTTATTCTCACATTCCCCTGCAACTAGTTTGTACCTGCACACTTAATAGCTATCATGAATGGACACTCACCACGTGCCAAGTGTCTGAAGCTATCTCATTTAATCTCCACAACAGTCTTATGAGGTAGGTCTTACTCTTGTTTTATAGATGAGAAAAGCGAGACTTGATGGGGTTAAATCATATACCCAGGGTTACACAGGTGGCAAATATCAGAGCCAGGATTTGAATCTACGTCCCCACTTTGTCTCCAGAACCAAAGTTTTCAACAGTTAAACTATTTATTACCCAGTGGCATTAAAAAAAAAAAAAAAAGAAAGAAAAGAAAAAGAAAAAGAAAAAAAAAACAAAAAAACAAAAAAACAAAAAAACCTCTAGCTTTCAGTAAGTGTTTAGCAATAAACTAGACCCTAGATGAGAACCGGTTTTTGTTTTGTTTTGTTTTTTTTAGATACACTAAAATGTCTGTATCACCCTGCAAAATTCTGTGAGCATTTGTCATTTATCTTAAGGCTCAACCTGGTCAGCTCTCTGGGTTGACATTTGCAGAGAGCAGAAGTCCAAAAAAGTATCACTTTCTAAGTGTATCTCCCATATTCTATTGGAACTCAGAACAAGGCTACAAATTGCTGCCTGGACCACAAACTGCAAACAGCATTTGGCCTTGAGATCTACTGGGAGTTCCAGTTGTAATTCCTAGGGCCACCTAATTTCTCCAGAATCTCTCATCCCGACATCTTTCTCTATTCTGCTACTTCATAAACAATGAGAAGCCCCTCTAGTCACCTATCATCTTTTATATGCCCACCCCAGTGTTCTGCAGTTCTTTTACCAGCAAGTTTGTCCTGTCAGAAACATTTTTTTTTCTACATTTTCTACCTCTTCCTTCACCTCTTGCCTTAGGTTTTCATACTTCACTGTACATCATTTTCATCTGAGAACTTAAAAAAAGAGAGAGAGATGCCATCTCCAGAGATTCAGATTCAGTTAGTCTGGGGTAGCCCTAGGCATCTTTGTTTTTTAAAATTCCTCAGGTATTTCTATTACATAGCTGGGATTGAGAACAACGACTTTAGACCCTACTATCCAATGAGGGTACCGCTTCCTTAGATAAGACTGGTGGAGGTTGCTCACCCTTTCTCATCCCAAGCCTGTAGGCCTGAGAGAACGGAGAAGGCAGACTTCCTCTTTTTCACTCAAAACGATTCGAGATCAGTACTTCTACACTTGCCTACAAAATCCTCTCTTTCGAGATTATCACCACCT